TTGTTGGTATTAGACATAGACAAAAAGTAGAGAATCGTTAGTATCCGGGAGTCTATTGATAATTGTTATGTTGGAGACACTCAACTTTTTTTAATAGTTAATGAAGCCTTCGGGCATGATGATGCTCAATGACATGAAACGACATATAAATAGTTAATACTTATACAATTATAAGTGAGATTCCTATGATTACATTTATTGACTATGGAATCCTTCTGGATATACCTATGATCACGCATGAATGAATGAAATACTTTCTTTACATAACTGCCATAATTTTTCACAGTAAATGTCTTTTTCCTTATATCTTTTACATCGTCAAAACATGTGATATGTTTTACTGTTACATATATTAGCCATGATTTTCATTCACATTGTTTATTTTTTGTTCTATAAAATGTTTATTTAGTCTTGATTATTTTGCTGAACTTATTATACCTCACTGTAAGTTATTGAATTTTTAGGAAGGGTAAATAGCATCGTGACAAGTAACGAGGTGTGATGTATACAACTTTTGTATTATATAATTTATGGACTTTGTATAAAATTTTGTGTATTTGACCAGACCCACAATTATGCAATTACTTACTTTTGAATAGATTGCCAAAAATCTGACCAGATTTATATTTAGCGGCTAGTGTGTATAAATGATATGTTATAGCATTTCGATTTTGATTAATATATTATACACTAGGGGTACTACGCAAGTATATGTATCATTTCAAGTAATATATGATTTTCTTTAAAAACTCCAGTATCGATCCTACAGAGAAGGTGAAACTCTTTTTGTTGACTTAGAAAACCTAATTCAAACTGCAAACAATTATCTAGGAAAAATTGTAGCAAGTTTATGTGTAAAAAGAAATTACTAAATTCCTACAAAATCAGGTTCAAAGTTTAAAGAGAATAAAGTGTTTCTAAACTAGTTTTATGAGAAAGAGTTCAAATTATGTGAATGTTCTTTCCCCTTACAAAGAAATCATAACCAGTGTAAGAATCAAATGTTTAAAAGTTAAAATTTAGTTGTGTGCTAAATAGGAGCAATCTTATTCTTTACCCTCTCCCGAGTGCATAAAAAATATTGGCTAATCTAAAGTAAGGTTTCAAATCATCTGAGGTTATGCTGGGTAGGTTCTAGCTTCTCACTTCTAGATTACCCACTGTGTCCTCTCTATAGGACTAACCAATCCTAAGATTCCAAACTCTAGACCAAATTGATAAGAATCTAGCCTGTCACCCTACAAGGACCAATTTTACGCCCATCAAACTTATCTCCCTATCTTTTTGCACTAACCCATACATTACCTTCTCACCCATGAAATTAATGTTATTCTTATTAGTTGAGAAACACATAGCCTTCCCAGGTCATTATAGATTCACAACAAATTTTAACATTCTAATTGGTCATATTGAAGATCTAAATGAAGAACGAAATAATGAATCATCAGAAGTATGAAATAAGAGAAATTTTAAACAAGTCTAATCCCACACATGATTATTTCTTATTGCAAGGAGAAAGAAAAGGAAAACTATTCAGAATTCATGGGGATAACACAACAAAATATGAATTATATTAAACTTCAAGTTTACATAATAAAATAAAACATAAACAAAAATACAAGGTATTTTTGTTAAACTTTTCCTCAAGCAAATCTTTTGAAGTTTCTTTGTTGTCTTCTTCCTCCAATAAACACATAAAAATAGAGTCTAAAAAGACTCACTCACACTCCCACGTGCCACACATTGAGACTCAAGTCACCCACTAAAAACTCTCTAACAACAACCCCTTTTTCGACCAGCCAATGACTCTATTAAATAGAACTCTCAAAATCACCAAGAGTCACAACTGTCCCTGGCGTGCACCTCTTCAAAATTTGTCCAAATTTAATGTCAAAAGGTCCAAACCGTTTCTGGCGCCTAGGTGCCCAACTGTGGTGCCTAGGTGTCAACCTTCTAGATACCTAAATTAACTATCTGGCGCCTAGGCGCCAAGTCAATTTTTGTTCCTTAGCTCCATTTAACCTTATTTTGCTTCATTTTTGCTCCTTTTGCTCTTAAACTCTATTTCTTGTACCTAAAATTAAAAACACACAAAACACCTTTCATTAAAGCGTAATATCCTTAAATATGAACATAAAATGTATATATGAAAGTAGATACAGATGTGTCAGAATACACTTTTATGTTGATTTAGAAGTTATGGTATATAATTTTTTACGCTTCTAGGTATAGGAGTGCGAATGAATTATAATGTAAAATGTATTATGCACGTTTGCAGCGATTTAGTTAAACTAACTCATCACCCACTGGGTCGTGGTTATGTAAGTCAGGATGAGTGTCTGTGAGAATTTAGTCTGACCGAATCGTCCACCTTTGTCGCAACGCGGTCGACTCTTAAGAGGGTCAGTTGGCGTGTGACAGAACTGGAGTAACATGCGTTAATTTCATGGTGGAAGTTGTTTATATGTGATTGGGTTTTGAGTTATCGTGAAAAATTGTTCATTAATTGATGAAATAGATTTCATTGTTTATAATGTTGTTTCTTTGCATCACTCAAATAAATCTTGTAATTCTTTTCATATTTAGTAATCCTAGTTTTGAAGGATTGAATAGTGATAATTAGATGAAAAAATCATCAAATGAAATTTTGAATTAATCATAACTAGAAATATTTATGAAATATCAAAAGACAGTGGAGGGAAGGTAACATTGATGTTCTACATTAAGTTGAGGTGATTTAATCATCATCCAAATTGAAATACTTCTAGTTGTCACCATCTAGCCGCAATATGTTGGCACTCCTCTCCTAATTGTTCATGTAATATACGGTCCTAAATAGTGATAAGCGCTCATATTTTCATGTTAGCTAATATAACTCACGAAAACATCTTTACTCGATTTTTAGTACTAGGACTAATATCCACCTAAAACAAATATTGACTCATGAAATGTTTTCAACAAATCACAATTTCTACAACAACTATGCCAAAAAAGACCGTAATTGTCTACAAAATTGCTATTTTAATGTAGATTATTATTTTTTTCTCAATTCTCATTCCTTAAAAAATAATTTCTATTTCTTAGTTGGCCATGCTTATTAAACCAAAGAAGAAGCTAGTGAGTTCCACTACTCTCATAGGTTCAATATCTGCCCTCATGACATTTCATGGCATCTTTTTCTCTCTTTGGATTGATGGAATGACTTGTTCGTTTTCTTGTGTTGGATGTAATAAAAGGTCAGTTTAACTATATTGTAGTTGTCTTAAGAAAATTAACATGTGGATATAAATTTGTTGAGAGGGCTGATTAAATTAGAAGGTAGTTGCATTCCTTAATGGAATATAAATGTCAATATGACTTGTCGGTCGACCTCTGCCAGGAACAAGAGAACCATTTGGTCATAGTTTTGTGGGACAAACTTTACCCATTTTAGGAAGCTTTGCATTATTGAGGGGCTATTTGGGATCAATTTTATTTTTATTTTCTATTTTTTATTTTTATCTTGTCTTGTTTATGTTTTGATGTGAAACAAAACATATTTGGTATTTTTGAGGAAGATATGGTTGTTTTTGAAAACACTCAAAATACACAAAAGTTGTTTTGAGCGTTTTTAAAACATATATATATATATATATATAGCCACCATGAATAAATATAATAAAAATACATTAAACAAACATATTTTTAAGAATAAAAGAAAAAAACAAAAACAAAATTTATCCCAAACAAACCCCTAAGAATCTGTTCCAACTTGCATATGTTGGTTTAATACTTGAAAGTATTTTATGTAAGATGCTAGAGTTTTCAGCATGGTTGGAGGCTTTCTGGTAGAATGCCGGTTTTAGTAAGTACGAGGCTGGCATACAGAGAGAAAGAGATGTTGGGATGCTATTGAAGGAATGAGGGAGGGTTTGTAATGAGGAGGCTTGGGACCAGGTAGGAGTTTCTTGTTATCTCAAACAACTCTCTGACACACTTGGATAACATGGATTCCATCAAAAAACTAAATCAAGGAAGGAGGCTTGACCGAAATTACCATAGAGGGAGAAAACTAATTTTCATTCATCGATTACTTCCTAATGACATACAGCAACTACTTAATAGCTGGATTGCATAAAGAAAAATTTGCCTTCTAAGTTTCTTTTATAATTGAACCAAGGCAAATAAACTAAATAAACTGTAAGCCCAAATGATATAAATAACTACAAGATACGAGAAGGGGCTAGAAATTTACCCTTTACGTGCATCAGTGGAGCTGCGTTGGAAATTTACCCTTTGCATGCATCAATGGAGTTCAAGAGAGTCTAATAGTGTGTATCGATGGTGGCGACATGCTGCTTGAACACCACCCTTTTGATGGACTTCATCATGCCAGCATGATGCAAATGCTTATAAAAAGATAAGAAAGTAATATGTTTATTTTGAACTGTAGTGCTTATTTTTTAAAGAGTAGAAGTTAAAATGACCAAAATGAAACCCTGACTGTTTGCAGTGGGTCATTTTAGTCCAAGAGTTCATAAAGGGTTAATTTAGACCCTAATCTTATTTAATGCGGGTTGAATTAATCCTTAATGAGGATTATTTTAGCCCCCATTAAAAAGATCTTAAGAGTAATTTAACACTTATATAAACTCTGAGACTAAAATGACCCCATGTAAATTGTCACGGGGGACTTTTTTTGGAACTGTGCTCTTACTTGAAATTAGGCTAATCCTTTTAACTTTAGTACATCAGTAATGCTGAATGTGATCTGTATTGGCTTTTTTTACCATGCTCATAAAGACGACTTCACATTTATAGTATATTGTGACTAACTGCTTAGCAAATGAAAAAGCTCAGATTCAGGGAGGAATAATACCTTAAAAACTTCACAAATCAAAAGTGAATGTATTTTGCCAGTTTCTTACTGCTATCAAGATTTTGTAGTTCTGATTATATTTGTAATTTCAAGTTGGTTTCAAAAAATAGCTGATCTATTGTGTATTCTAAAACTTCTCCAGGTTTATTCATTAGATTGGACCCTGGAAAGGAACCGGATAGTTAGTGCATCTCAAGATGGGAGGTTTATTGTATGGAATGCTTTAACAAGTCAAAAAACACATGCGACAAGGCTTCCTTGTGCATACGTCATGACCTGTGCCTTTTCTCCCAATGGCCAGACGGTTGCCTGCGGTGGTCTTGATAGTGTTTGTTCTATATTTAATCTTAATTCTCAACTTGATAGAGATGGAAATATCCCTGTATCAAGAATGCTAACTGGTCACAAGGGATATGTATCATGCTGTCAGTACATTCCTGATCAAGAATCTCACTTGATCACCAGCTCAGGTGACCAGACTTGTGGCTTGTGGGATGTTACTACTGGCCAGAGGGTTTCTGTATTTGGAGGAGAATTTCCATCTGGTCACACATCTGATGTGTTAAGGTATGTTCATGTTTCACGCATGAAAAGATGCACATGCTTCTGAATTGGGCGTTAGTTTAGTTCTCACATTTGTTTCATTTTGTTCTCTTGTGATGTTGGCGTATGTACTTTGGGATGGACGAGAAAATGAAACAGGAGTAATGCTTTTGGAAGTGCTTACACAAACATTATTCAAATTCTAGTAGACGTTATGTTATTTTTTGCCAAAAGAACAAAAAACAAAAAGAAAAAAAAACAGGAATACGTTTGTGAAATGGCATTGTGATTTTCCCATCATGTATTGGTTTTTTCATTGGAATATGGCATTTCCTCATGTCAAATGTGGCCTCATAAATCTCAAAAACTTTATTTTTTTTCCCGTAGAATAGTTACAGGACTTTGTAAAACATCATAATGTTCCAATTTACGCTTCATTTTGTGTGTTCTTATTGAAAGTTTACAATTTAGCTATTAAAAGCTCTTGTTACTGTGGTTTAAGTAGTTTTCTTTTATTATAAGCATCTCTCTACAGTTCTTGATGGTTAACTTCTTACTTCCTTCATTCCAAAGGATCAAAGGCTTAACCTTCTTTAAGCTGCATGATTGATGATCCTTTCCTTAACTCAAGTTTGGGTAATTTATTTTTTTCCTGAATGATTAAGGATTTTGTTACTCCTTATAATTGATGTTTCTAATTTTCATTGCTCCACTCCTAGGGCATATCCTAAAGAAAAGTGCCCCCAACAATCTAAATATTTATTACAAAAACTGGGATGTGTGTTTCTCTATCAAAGCCTGCATTCTTCTTTGTAGGTATGGTTTTAAATTCACTTAACCTTTTCCTATTGTTTTCTATATCTTAGATCATTTTAGCTTGCCAAACTATGTACGGGATTCTTATATTATCAACAAATACTTTTCATACATCAGCCCCTCTAATGGTTTAGTATATTGTCTCATTTAAACTCTTAGTATATTATATTTATGGTATGGTAATGGTTTGGCTTATTCTGACCTCCCAAACGTTTTAGAATCGTTTATTATGTTATTTATCTTATTGTACATAATATACGATCTTCTAAGTTATAAAGTTAGTGTTTGTTTGATGTTTAACATCATTCTGAAAATAATTAATGTGACACGTGCTTTTCAAGAAGTGTTATTGATATGTTCTAGGGCACCTATAAGTTATTTAGGAAATGGATTTAGTGGGAAAGTTGTCTTGGAATTGCGAGGGAATGCAATATGGGAGTTTGACGACATTTGCATCAGAATTGGATGCAATAATTGTGTTTAAAAATTAATAAATAAATGAATAAAATCTGATCAATGGGAAAGGACACGATGCCGTTTATGATAAATTCGCAAAGAGGTGTCCAATAGATTTCTAGGGAGGATATGCAGTAGGAAACCCTGAAATTACAACAGAGGCTTGTCACTTTCAAGAGGAGGCAATCCGAATGGGTCACTCATAGCCACAATAGTGACTTGCTAGATCGAAGAATCGTAGTGAACCTCTTCCATCATGTGAATTTCAGGAATGAAGTTTAGGGAGATATGGAAACTACACCAGAGGCTTGCCACTTTTAAGAGGAGGCAATCCAAATGTGCTACTCATGGTCACAATAGTGACTTGATAGATAAAAGAAATTGAGCGAATTTCTTCCAACATGTGAATTTCAGGGATAAAGTTTAGCGAAACCTGCAAAATAAACAGTGGCTTGCCACTTTTAAGAGGATACAATTCGAATGGGTTTGCTAGATCGAAGAAATGGAGTGAACCTCTATTATCATGTGAATTTAAGGGATGAATGATCTTTACTTCGAAGATGTGACTTAAAATATATGAGAAATCAAAATTTTTAAGTGAAAGCAAATTTGCCATATTTTGACGGCCACAGGGATCTATATGAGTTTGTTGAGTGGCTTTGAATCTTGGAATGTGTCTTTGAGTGCCAAGACATCTCACAGGACGGAATGATGAAACTAGTTGCCAATAAGTTAAAGAAGACTATATTATTTTGGTTGAAAAATTCGAAGTACTTATGCTAGCGTGAGGGAAAAGACAAGATCACTACATGGTCCCAGATGAAATTGGAGATGCTGCGCCAATTCCTACCTGCACACTATAGACTAGATGTTCAAACATTAGTTGCAAAAGCGGAGAGTCCACATTTCCGGGCGACCACTACATTTTACAGACAATGTTTAATTCCAAAATTATATAGCCAAGTAGACCTTGAGGAACATCTATGACAATCCCGCTTGAGGAGAAACTGATTTAGAGTAGAAAACATCTTGGAGCGAATCAATATTCTTAAATTTGTCCCGACCATAAAATGTTTCATGTGCCATGAATTTGATCATATTAAATCAAATTGCATAATCAGGAGATAATATATTTCACTTAGCAGGAAACTATTGAAGATATGAGTAATAACATAGTAGATACTAAAGAAGATGAGGGCACAAATAAGGAGTACTGACTTCCAACTGTTGAGGAAAAAATATATATAGCTCCAACTGAGCCCATGAGAAAAACTTCAACCAAATTAATAGTAATTGCTCAAGACAATCTTGAGTTTGAGGAACCAACATCAGATACATTTCAACCCCATAGAAGAGAAATTTAAATTTTTTGGATCTATATACTCTTTTCTGAGTTGCCCCTATTGAGGGAGGTTCATCATGCCAGGAATGAAGCACTTTTTTGTCTCGTCTCAAAGATTATATTGAGTTATTCAGATATTAGATTCAATTCAACAGCCTACCCACCACCAGATGTTCGCACAAGTGGGATGAACCGCAGCTTTGAAAATTGTCTTTGGAGCTTTATGGAGAAACCAAATTCTTCAATGGGATTTTGGTCTTTTTAGAAGAGAAGAGGCATCTCCTAAGTGGTTATACTGCAGTGTGGTTCAGCTTGCCATATATTTCCTCTCAGAGTTTATTTTTCCTTACATACTTGTCTATCGATACACTCAAACGAGTACGAAGAGTAAAAAAATAAAGAATCAATTACATATTTAATGGCTTGAGGCTTAGTTCGTGAAGATACCCATCCATGTATAATTTAAGATATGGATTTGCCAAAACAAAATGGATACATATTCTATCAAGTTGTGCTTTGGAATGCCAATAATGCCAACAAGGTTGACTTACTAGAAGATTATAATATTTCCTCCACCTTCAACATGACTTACCTGACGCCATACGATAAGGAAACAGAAGTTTCGATGGATTAGGTCAAAGCTTTCCCAACAATGGAAGATTGATGCGGGAGCTTATTGCACTAATGGCCAAGGTACTATAGCTGATTATCTATCATGACAGATGGGTCGAAACTATCCTACTTTCTTTCCTTTTGCGTTCTTTCCTATTACTCTTCATTCTTTTTTCTTCATTTTGTATAGGTGTTGTGTTATGGTTTGGAAGGCAATTTTTGGCACAGATTTATGTCAGGACAACCACAAACTTCCATTTCTCCTTTCAAGAATCGTATCCAAGGGTTTGGGTTGTGCTGCAGCTGTATCCTTCTTCCGAAGTAGTGTTTATCTTTCCCATTCCTCTTTCGCATCCTCCCCACGCTGCCCCAGTCGAAAATTTTAAAAAAGAAAATTCTCCTTTGCTTTTTTTCTCTCTCCAATCATTAAACTATAATAACAATGTAGCTTTTTAAACTATGTTGAATTTCAAGTTAAAAAGTTTGCTATTAGATTTTTTGAAGTGCATATAGTTATACTATTCTAAGAATGATTTAATATTACTATTATCTATTCTATCTTCATCATCACCTATGCCCTCTTCTCTACCTTTTGTTTTATAGCCTCTCCGTATCTTCATCTATTTCATTGGACTCGTCTTTTTTATTTTCAAGATTTAGTATTGTAGAATTAGAATTCTTGCATGCACATTTGATGAACTTGTTTTCAAAGGTGTGTCCTTGTTCCTCCAACTCTTTATTCTCTTTTAAAGATTTTTAAGGCACCATGCCCTTGCCTCACTTGTGAACTTAGGTGTTCTTCTGAATCACCTTTAACAACGTTGATTGCATTCTTGGAGGTATCATGGGAAAAGTGGGAGTAAGGAGCGCAAAACAAGCATTATTGGGTGATGTGGCTTTCTTGTGTTTTACAGTTGGAGTTAGTCCTGTACGAAAACAACACTCGGTGAACAATTTTAGCTGATATGAACAACTATAAGAGTGCAGCACGTGCAGAAAAAGCATAAACAAGTGAAGTGACCCCACTTGGTTCTAGTGATTGGAGTTTTTCCTACAAGATATTAACATACAATGGAAGTGAAATCCATGCCTTATGAATAATTAAAGGCGTTTAGGGCATATCCACATATAGGTCTTCAATAGGCTTAGTTTTCGTGATATGTAGAAGTTCACCTGACAGAGTTGGTACCTCAAGTTGCTAGTTTGTCTCGGAGGGCATGAACCAGTAGGGGCTGGAGGAAGAGAGATCACATCGGATTGTGTAACACAAGAAAATGGTTAGAGAAAATTTTTTCAAGTATTTTAAACATCGTTTATTGGTTATTTGAGTTGTGAGAGGTTATTTGCGGCAGCTGATAGAAAACATTAGATTTATTTTGATAAAAGATCTAGAGGTATGTTGTAAGGAAAAAAAATAACAGTCAATATGACGTATTTGTAGAAGCGCTGAAATGTTAGAAGGCCAAACATCTAAGGATCAAATTAATTTTTACCAGAAACATTGATATTTTGAAGCTTGCATTTAGATTATTACATGATACTTTGTAATTTACCATTTTGTTTCTTAATTTGCTCATTTTGCTTTGGTGGACAGCTCACAAGTTTGATTTTGGACATAAATTTGCTCGTATTTTTACTTACCTCAATTTGTTGCATGATAGAAGAAAATAGCCATTTGACAATTTGCTATATTAATGATGCAGCGTTGTAACGATTGGCGTTACTTTAGTGTTATTTTATGCATTTGGTTATTAGGTACTTGTATGCTAAATATTTTTTAATTCAACATGTTCAGAGAATGCATTCCTTGATGCAATCTTATTACTTTTTCTTTTTAATATTTTCTTTTATATTGTTTGATTTAATCTGTTATTTTTCTCATAATACCATTTAAATTTCATTTTTTTTTCCTGTATTTGTCAGTGTCTCAGTCAACACTTCGAATTCAAATATGTTTGTCTCTGGTTCATGTGATGCAACTGCTAGGCTATGGGATACCAGAATTGCTAGCCGAGCAGTTAGAACGTACTATGGCCATTCAGGGGATGTTAACACAGTAAAATTTTTCCCAGATGGGCAAAGGTTTGGCACTGGTTCTGATGACGGCATATGTAGGTTGTTTGATATGGGAACTGGGCATCTGCTTCAAAATTATGGTCAACATGGTGAAAATCAGGAAGTCCATTCGGTGAAGGCCATTGCTTTCTCCATATCAGGAAGACTACTCTTTGCTGGTTACTCTAATGGTAATTGTTATGTTTGGGATACGCTGATGGCTGAGGTAAGAAATAAAAAAAAAATAAAAAAAAAAAGCAGAAATAGATTTATTGGTGTAAGCAAATAGATGTAAATGGAGGAAGGCTATAAGGATTTTGACTGAATAACTCTTTTCCGATATTAGCTTCTTGCACTACCAAACTACCTTTTTGAATGGGGAAAACTTAAGATACGCAGAGCGTAGATTAGAAAAAATAATAAACAGTTGATCAGCATGTTGCATAAAATTCAAAGCATTCCTATTCTCGTAAGCTTGTATTTTTCGTCTTAAATAAGTCTATAAATCTGTTATCTTGTGTATAAGGGAGCAAATATTTTTTTACATCATGCTTAACTCCTGTCCCATATGGTTTACCGTTTTTCAACTGTAGTTCTTTTTTACCAAAATGTTGTGTTTGACCTGCTTATGGTACCATCCTCCTCGTGGTCCACTAGATCAACTCTGAGCCCGCCAAAATAATTTGAATACATATGTTAGGCGTAAAGACTAGAAGGGTGATTTAGTCATTAGTTAATTATTATTGTAGAGTATAAATAGGGATAACATGTTTATGACTAAGCAATGTGTGATTGTTGTCTTGAATCTTAGGGTTAGGGCTTGGGAGAGATCACCTACCTCGAACTATAAGTGATTATCTTTTATGTATATGAGTTGTGTTGTTGTGTTGGTGAGGGGAAATATTTTGTTTGTCCTAATCTTTGTGGAAGTTCATCCCTTTCTTATCGGTTGATATCTCAAAGAATTCAATATCTAGGAAGCCAGCGACGCGATAACAACATATAGGAGTTATTTTGCTTTCATGACTGAACATAGTGATACAACTGAGGATTCGAGCTAGTTAGGAAGCCAACAAATGGATCGCGATATAATCCAGATCGATGGGATCCCCTTCCCGACCGAACCTCACGATACATTTGACTTTGTGACTAAACTTCGAGATACAATCCCCCTTGAGATGGAACATTGCGATATAGTCATGATTCGAGCTAGTTGGGAAGCCAACGACGGGATCACGTATCGTCAAATCTTCATGATTGAACCTCATGGTAAACCCGCCTTCGTGATCGAACCTTGCGATACAATCATGATTCAAGCTGACTGGAAAGCCAACAAATGGATCGTGGCGTACAAGGTTCTTATTTCGATCATCTGCCTTCGTGACTGAAACTCGCGATACATTTGCGATTTGAGCTAGATGGGAAGCGAAGAACGTGATTGCAACGTACAAGAGTTTAGCCTTCATGATCAAAAACCATGACGGGAATAATGGTGGCCAAGAAAGTAGATCTCTTGGAGGATAAATTAGAGGGGGAGGTGAGATAAATCAGATCCAGAATGGAGGAGCGGTTCTCGGTCATGGGGAGGCGTTTCTCATCCATGGATGGGATATTTATGTTCCTTGAAGAAATGATGAAGATCTTAGAGTGTTACGTAAACCCGTTGGCGTCTTTCATGGTATGGAACGATACTGTCTAAAACGGACGCGAGCAACAACAATCAGAAGGATTCATGTGACATCAAGGTAGTGTCGTTGCTTTAGTTTGATTTGGAGCTGCGGGATCAAGTTAAGGAGTTAGGAACGGACTCGAGCAACAACAATTGAAAGGATTAACACAATATTCTGACAGTTGGAACAAAAGCAAACAAGCGAGATTGAGTGAAGGAGATAAGAACGAATTCAAGCCATAACAAATTAAGGGAATTGTGTGACATCTGGAGGTTTGGAACTAGCAGCAATAGGTGGAACTGGATGTTATGCGATTAGGGACGGGAGAAATATCGATTTGAGAGATTTCAGTTTGCAATAGTGAACCATGATGGATGAGAATGATGAGGAAGGTGTGAGATGATGGTTGTTTGGTGAGAATCAAGATCACTAAGGAGTGATCTTTTGCTGGACTCAATCTCCTTCAAGGGTCAGGAGATCAAATTTTAATAGAGGAGCGTAATTGAAAGTAATATGAGTAAATTAGGGTTATTCCAGATGGTGTCCAGAATCTAGAAGTCTAACTTCAAAAGTTTCTTAAAATAGCTCAAAATCATACAAACAAACACTTATATTGTAGGATAGGTTGTTAAATATTAATCTGGAAAGTTTGGTAAATTTTGGGATTGATTTGATGTAGAGAAACACAAATATATTGGAATAACTAGTCTGTCCAGAGGTGACCTAGTTTGAAAAAATGGCTACATCTTTTTATATAGCACGATAATTTAGTAATTTAAATTGGGGGTAGTATTAGAAACACTTTAGTATTGATCTGGAGGGTTTTGTTGGGTTCGGAATATTGGGGATATTAATTTGGGGACAAGAAAGTTAGAAAACATGAACTAGAAAAACAAGACAAAATGTTAGGGCTTTCTTTAGGCAAATTTTTCTCAAAGAATTATAACTGCATTTCAGCTATTTTCTTTTTTATATTTTTGAAGTAGGGAATGAGGCAAACAAAATGATACTAAATTAGAAATTTTATTGAGATGATTTTATGGGTGAATTAAGACAAACAATTGAACTAGTCTAAGTTTTCCAAACAAAATATAGATTTAGGGATTCTCATTTAAACCCACAACATAGTGGGACAAAACACAAGATTTAGGAGTTTGATTTTGGAACATAATAGTGGACAACACTATTAACACAAACAACCTAAGATTTGCATGAAAAAAGTGTAGAGAGTTGAAAATTTCTACTTACTAAAGCATGATTTTAAAGGGATCACCAAATCCCTTGTGTGACTGGCCATTAAGTCTCAAGCCAATAGAGAATAATTCATCCAAGTGTTCACACAACCAACATCTTTCATTTCAGAGAAAGATTAGTTCATATAAACTAAGCTAAAAGCCCCTTTCATCACACATCTTCACTACCAGAACAACTAACCGAAGAAGGAGAGAGGTAGTGGTCGGCCCCCTCTTATAATTATTCAATCCACATTGGTCGACCCCTATTCCAAGCTTCCACTCCATGCATTGACTAAGGGTCAATGCCAAATAATCAAACCTTGACTCCACTCATGAAAATACTCGATTTCAACATAAATAATACATGCAATTTACATAAACACAATTAACACAACATTAAGGAAACTAAATACTATGTAACATAATGGAAATATACATAAATGTTCATCTCTAAGGTCTTCAAAACCATCAAAGGCTCCTCAAGTTTTATTTGGAACTAGATTTGGGTCTAGTAGTTCGATCACCTACTCTAGCTTGAGATCTAGTGGTGCTGCCACCAACATGTGCCACATCAACTAGATCTGGCGGATGGCTGCATCCAATCATGCCACTATTTTTTGCTATGACACCCTTCTAAGCAGAAAATGCAAAAAAATGATTCAGGAGCCTATGGGAATGAGCGAGTTGATTATGGATCAAGTAGACTTATGAAAGAAGGGAAAATCAACATGGTATGAGGAAGGGTACCCAACCTCCACTTCATGAGTGAAATGAGCTTCGGTCGAGGAAATTGGGAAGGAGACTCTTGCGTAAGGAAGTTGAAGATGTCGATCTTTAAAGTAGAGGATGCGTATGGTTGGGTTTATTGCATGGAGAGATACTTTGTTGTTAATGGGCTGATGAGGAAGAAAAATTGATGACGACAGCCCTTTGTTTGGAAGAGAAGACTCTAGCGTTGTATAAGTGGAGAGAACAATGCCAGTCAATCAGAATATGAGAGGAATTCAAAGACCAATTGTTAAAGCATTTCAAAACCGTGCAGGAAAGAGATTTGCGTGAGCAATTTTTTGCATTAGTCCAAGAAGGGTTCATTATGGGTTATTGAAAAAATTTGAGATGCCATTCGATCGTTTGAGAGGGATATCAGAAACAGTGTGATAGGTACTTTCTAAAAAATTAGGGTCAAAATAAATTTCACCAACACCAACCAACACAACCCATATGCATAAATGATAAACAAATACAATTCTAGTGGTAGACGATCTCTCCCAAATTCTAACCCTAACACCTATAATTTGAGAGGTAGACGATTTCTCCCAAACTCAAACATTAAGATTCAAGACAACAATCATATATAATTTAACCCTAAACATATTAACCTTATACCACACAATAATAACTACTAAATGACTAAATTACCTTTTTAATCTTTTGTCTAACATAAGTCTTCAAACTACTTTAGCGGGCTTGACGTCAACTCAGTGGAGCATGAGAGGAACTGTGCCTTAGGCACCGATTTAACATTATTACCTTCCTAAACAAGGTGGAGAGAAGAAATTGCTCCTAGATAAATCGTATGGCTCCCATGTGACGTCATAATTTGGAAATCCTTTTCAACACTTCTTTTCCACTTATTGATTTCTGACACATTCTTTTTAACTCAAGTGGCTCCAAGAGAACTTTTATTGCATCTTTATTCTTAACCAACTGCATTAATGCCATAATTTTCCCCAATCCCTTCGGTTTCACTACACGAAGCACTGCTTGAATTTATGGCCTCAACCTTTCATAAAGTTTCCTTTTAACACTTCTTCTGATATCCCTGCCAAACAATCAGACAATATCTTAAATTTCTCCCTAAAATTCATAACGTACCTTTCTTGGGCTAATGCAAAAAATTTGTTGTGTAAATCTCCTTCCCACTTAATTTTTGTACAACAGGAATGCATCTACATGAATCTCTAGGAGGTGATTAAAGAAAAAAAAAATGGATTATTCGCCATACAATCGGTCGGTCTCACATGCCAAACAATGAAAAGAATGAACGACTTGGCAAATATCGCAGGCCCGAATCAACACTTGCTTTCCAGTAACTATCGTCATGAAAATCAACAGTCACCCATGATGAGGTTCTTCAACATAGACACATAGATCGAAGGTAGGCTGCTTGTCGAATTACGATGGTTCATCCTGTACCCGTTGAAACAATCTTACCCAAGGGCGACATGTCTTCACATTCGGAGATTGAAGATCATTAAGTTTATCAAAGAATGTTTGGTTGGCCGAATGAATCTGGCTGACCGAACGAATTCCAAGTAACC